TGCAACAATTATATAAATAATAATAATATACGGTCAATTCTACGTCACAAGTATATTTTATTTATAGTATATGGAGTGTATAACTCCTTTTTCATTTTAAGCCAAGTATAATAAAGTAAAGAAAAGTAAAGATTTCCTTCTTCTTCTTCTTCTTCTTTACTTTATATTTTATTTATTCCTTTTAGAAAAAAGGTATACGTATCCTTTATTTTTCTATTCTATAGGGGGACCAAAATATTTTTTGCAAACTATCCTTATTATATGTAAGTATGTATTAGATAAGTTTTCTAAATTCAATAGTTTTAGAGTTATAGATTTTAGAGTCTACTTTTAAAAATCCAAAAATTTGGTTACCTATAAAAAATGAAAAAATAGATTTACAATAATATATTTTCATCCTAATTGAAAATGTGGACTGAAATTTAACGTGAAATTGCCTATATACTTATAATATATCTTTTTTTCATTTTTGAAAAATATAAGACTGAAGGTAGTTCTCTGGCTTCTACTCTTGTAAAAATTTATTTTCTTCAAATTTTGAGGAAGTGTTTCTTTTGGTGCCCTTTAAATGTGGTAAAAATTTCAAAACCCTTTGCGATGCTAAATTTTGACTTATTCAAGTTCAAACTTTCACTTTTCCATGCGTTTATGTTAAAAATAAAAAATGTCAACCACAATATCTCGTTTTTTGACATGGCAAAAGGTTTTGAAGTTTCTATCACATTTAAAAGGCATCCGAAGAAATATTTCCTCAAAATTTGAAGAAAATCTATCGAAAATCAATTTTTAAAAGAGTAGCAGCAGGAGAACTACCTTAAATTGAAATTTTTTTTATATATTTTAATAAAAAAAAAAAGAAAATTTCCAAAAATTCCCGGCAATTTCCCGGGTTTTTCCTGGTCGAACTAAATTCCCGGCAAATTCCCGGTTTTCCCGTTTTTCCCGGACGCTAGACACCCTGAATAATTTAACATACAGGAGTAAAAAAAAACTTATTTTTTTAATTTTAATTTTACAACAAAATAAAGTTAACGCAATTCTGAAGTTACTACTGTAAAGCATTAGAAAATCCGCATCCAACGAGCCCAATATGAAGTATTCTGGATAAATTGACGTTTTATAAATAAATATTTATAAAAATTAATTAACAAATGAATATCATTTATAAAAATAAAGATAAAGTGTTAGTTTTTTTTACACAAATGTTTATACAATTCTACTTTAAAAAAAATGTATTCCAGTTATTTGCAACGATTGTTTAAATAAAATATTCAACACCTTATGCGTATGTCGCGCTGCATACACACTAAAAAAAAAGTTTTACTTTTAGCCTGTTTTCGAGGCTGAATTTAAGGTGTAAACGGAGTCAGCCCCATTAAACAAGGATAGACTTATGTGAAATACATGGGCTGAATTTAAGGTGTAAACGGAGTCAGACTTTTTTTTCCTGTGTAACTATATTCCCTGCTTAATATTTTTTGACATCTTCTAAAGAACATTTTTTTAATTTTTACGTTTTTGATGTAAGAAGAGATGATTTCTTCTTTACATGAATAATTTTTTATTATTTTAACCCTTTAACGCCTGCGGGACATATATGTCCCACTTACAAAAACCACTGTAACTTCTTTAAATAATAATATTTTTTCACCGGGTTGGACTTGATTTCCTCAGAATCGGTCCAGGTATCCAAAAAAAAATTAAAGTAAACAATAAAAAAAATTTTTTATTATAAAAAAATATTAAAATGTTTATGCAAATCGGAAAAATTGTTTAAAAAAGTCAGTTAGCTCATGTACAGACGCTGAAGTCAAAAAAATTTTTTGAAGCTCACTATGTTAAGTGTTTTGAACCACTGAATACAAATATCGTCGCCATTTTGAAAAATTTGCAAAAATTAAAAAATGGCGTATTCTAGATGGCGCACACTTCGAAGCAAAATTGTCTTACATTATACGAACATTAAAAAATTAATAAAAAGAAAGGAAAAGTTTCTTAAGGTTTTCGGGGTCGCTGATTACGAATTTGATGTCAAATTTACATTTTGACAATTGACAGCTGTCAAACCAACTGTCAACTTTTGTAAAACAGATTTATTTTGTATAAAAAAGACTTCAAAAGAGTTTTCGGTGTCGCTGATTACGAATTTGATGTCAAATTGACATTTTGACAGTTGACAGCTGTCAGAAAAACTGTCAACTTTTACATTACTGTTTTAATTTTTATAAAAAAGACTTCAAAAGAGTTTTCGGGGTCGCTGATTACGAATTTGATGTCAGATTGACATTTTGACAGTTGACAGCTGTCAAAACAACTGTCAACTTTTGTAAAACAGATTTATTTTGTATAAAAAAGATTCCAAAAGAGTTTTCGGGGTCGTTGATAACGAATTTCATGTCAGATTGACAATTTAACAGCTGTTAACTCAACTGTCAGCTTTTATAAGACTGATTTCTTTTTAATAAAAGTGAGGGAAAACTGTTTTTAGGGTCTCAAATTTCGAATTTGAACTCAAATTAATGATTTAACAGTTGGCATTTGATATAATTGTCAATTTTATAAGAAGTAATTTGGTTTATTTAAAAATGTCTGTAAAAGGGTTTTTACATTGCTGATTACGAGTTTGATATCCAATTGACAATACGCAGACAATACTGACATAATAACAAAGAAAAAAATAATAATTTCGTTTGTGAACAGTAATCCACATCACCTTCGAGGTTCCGATAAAGATGCGATAGATTTTTTTGGTAAATCTTCGCCTGTAGCCCTATTTTAACACAACTCTTGTAATAATTATAACTCGTACAATTTTTGCTCATTTTATAGACACTTTTGCATAAACAAAATTACTTCTTCTAAAAATTGACAGTTGGTTTGACAGCTTCCAACTGTCAAATTGTTAATTGAACATCAAATTCGTAATCAGCGACCTCGAAAACAATTTTGGAGTCTTTATTATAAAAAGTAAACCAGTTTTACAAAAGTTGACAGTTGTTTTGACAGCTGTCAACTGTCAAAATGTCAATCTGACATCAAATTCGTAATCAGCGACCCCGAAAACCCTTTACGGAGTCTTTTTTATAAAAAATAAATCAGTAATGCAAAAGTTGACAGTTCTTCTGACAGCTGTCAACTGTCAAAATGTCAATTTGACATCAAATTCGTAATCAGCGACCTCTAAAATCCTTTTAAAGTCTTTTTTATAAAAAATAAATCAGTTTTACAAAAGTTGACAGTTGGTTTGACAGCTGTCAACTGTCAAAATGTCAATTTGACATCAAATTCGTAATCAGCGCCCCCGAAAACCTTAGGAATGGCATCTCATTAGTTTATATCTTTTCTATGTTTTTCTCGGGTGTTAAAGGGTTAATATCAACAAGAATTTTTGGTTAAAATATGATCGTAAAATGCGGATGAACCTCAAATATTTATATTATTATTACTATATTTATTTTATTTTTCTTGATATTCTTGCAAAAAAAAATTTTTGGCAATTTGAGATTCATCCGCATTTTACAATCATATTTTAACAAAAAATTCTTGGGATTTATTTTTAAGACGATTTTTGTGGACTCCAGGGCTCCCCTTGTTTTCTGTCACGACAATGGTAATTAATGAACTCCTTTTTTCGCTTTAAACTTACAAATTTTTCAAATTATATTAATGATCTGTACACCTCCCTCAATAATGACCAATACTTGAAGTTCAGTTAAATACAAACACGTTAATAGCAGAAATGATCATTTTTGTTGCAGTTGATCCTATTAAGAAAAAAGTTATTTTTTATATATAAAAGTGCGAACTTCATTTAATTTGGTCACCGCGCTGAAAATAAGCTTATTTTATTTATGTAACTTTGTTAATTAACGAAATGTCGTAAACATGTTTATTACTTATTTCAAGTGTATCATTTTCTGAGTTGAATGAAAAAAAACATAATTTGTTTAACTTTAATCGTTTCAAAGATATGAGTATTTAAACAATTTTGAGCAATTATTGTATCTTATAGATAAACAATAAAATTGCTTTGACTCCAAAAAGTTGGTTTTCTGAAACTCTGTGAATTTGCTCCAAAAACATTTTAAAGCATCTTTAAAAGAATTGTTGAATGTCATTCATTTAACAGTTTTATTGTGGTGAAGCTGAAGTTACCAACGTCAAATAAAAATGTTGCTTTATGAACATAGAAACGAAAGAATATTTGATGCAATAAAAGTTACTCCATTTACAAAATAATCTATTCAAGATAAAAAAATCTGTTAAATGAAAATTTGAAAACGCTGAATAGAATAGAATTCCTTTTTCTGATTGTAATTTTAATCTCTCTCGTTCACAGGAAATCGATAATTTTTGAAAACTTCATAGCATAACCTATAAAACTGATAAATCACTAAGAATTTCATAAGATTTTGTAATTCACAAGAAATCACGTACTTGTTATTATCTATTATTTTTATCGATGAAAAAAGTGCGAATTATACACATAACCTACTTAATGAGTGTAAATTTTTGTAATTTTTAAAAAGCAGGCTCTTAAGGATTTTTCTCCTTAAAAGATAGTTCATAATTTGACATTTCTTGATACGACTGCATTATTTATTTTTTCACGATGTAAGATTTTATAAGAAAATATTAATTTTACTTAACCCTGTAATTAAAAAAACGAAAAATTTAAAGGCCCCTTAAAATGACTTATATTTCTATACTTGGAAAGTAAGAAAAAACGATGAAGCATTGGGCACTAATAAAAACAGTTATAGGACATCATAGAAAGAAAATACATAAAATTCTCCTGCTCGCGAACAGCTTCATCATGCTCTTGTTTGATAACTTTTGAAATTTGACATTCTCTTTTAATGCTGTTCGTGCAAAGCCAACGCGACGAAATAAAGAGACTCATTGTTGAAACTCGTTTCGGATGAGTTTCCTAACGAACCTCGAGCTGCGTGTGGCATGAAAAGTGCGAAAAGTGAGAAAAGTGAGAATCTTGGACTTACTTGCTGCTCTAGACCTGATCCATTTTGGTTGGCTGCATTACTCATATTACTCCTCCTCAGTGCGTAATTTTCCTGGCCTTGTTAGGGAAACGTTATTTAGCTTTTAACAAACCGAAGGCAGAACTTATTCAAGAAACTCTTCACAAAACGAATAAAATTAGTTAATAGATTTGGAAAAGAATAGCGACAAAAGACTTGGTCGTTACGAACTGACGTCGACGCAACAAAAATGGCCGAAAATATAAATGTCCCTTTTCCCAGTCAAGAGACACGAGAGACACGATATGGTCAAGATGGCTACCCCGCTATATCCGCTGAAACTGTATTTTATGTTACGGGGGACAGAAATTTTAACTTTTTGCACGTTCTGCACTAGCAATGCGTAGAAAACAGGCAAACTTCCTATTATTCACTTTTTCTCCTTTTTCTCGCAAACTTTTTTTACTTTTCCCTTTGATAAAAAGACGATAAGCAAATGAGATGTGTAAATTAGAGGGAGTCACTTAATTAAGTTAAATAAACAGAATTTCAGTTAGTCCTTAAGTCTTTAATGAAATTTTCAAAAATTATTCCACTATGTTCTGCAATAATAGCACAATAATTATACAGGAGAATAAATAAATATCATTCAAGGTCGACTTCGATGGAAACTAACCTCATTTTGAATTTTTTTCTTTGAGAAAAGTTGAAAGTCCCTAGGCCTATATCACATCAGTGGGAGTAGTGGCTTGAAACGGAAGCAGAAACCGTTAGGCCAATAAGAATGCTCCATTAGCATGATTTCCATTGTTAGGAACATTCTATTGGCTGAAGGTCTATTTAACTGTGAGGTTAAAGGTACGGTCACATGACTTTTGGAAAAACCATTCTTGTCTTTCTCACTTCTATGGCAGAGGCATAAGTTTGTCTCACTCTACATTTCCCGTTTTTGAGATATGTAGTAAGAAAATGTAGTGAGACAAACTGCTTCTGTCATAAGAGAGAGAAAGACAAGAATGATTTTTCCAAAAGTCGTGTGACCATAACCTGAGTTCACAATATACAAATACAAATTTTTGCCAAATGACATGTTGGGTGTTTTCGACGTCGTCGGTCATACCGGTCAGTTGCCACATAAAGGTGCTCAAACTGTTTATTTGAGACTATTTAGTTTAACCTAAATAGTCTCAAATAAGCACCTTTTTGTGGCAACTGACCGGTACGACCGACGACGTCGAAAACACCCGTTATGTATCAAGCTATTGTAGAAACACCTTTACCTTTCTTGCTTTTTCAAGTTAGAAAAGGACAGAAATATTTGTCCTTTTCTATCTCATGCTCTCGTTCGGGAACGACTTTCGCGAACCGATGTCCGATTGTGAGGTGGACTTAAATTTAATACAGTACGTGAATTAAAAAAAATAATTTAATTATTTATTGACTTTAAATTTTAATTGCTTCTCGAAGTTGTTGGCGAACGAGACGCATGAGATAGAAAAAGACATAAATATATCTCTGTCCTTTTCTAAGAGAGAATTAAATTTGAAATGATGGTTTCTGTAGAAAGACCCACATGAAATACCTATTTGTATATGTATGTGTTTCCTATCCCTGCGTTGATAACTTGTCTCATGTCCATGTCTGTATGTTATTATTTAATACCACGTGTTTTTTTTGTTCCTTTATGGTTAAGTTTCTCAAGATTTAATAATTCTCTAAAAAAAGGGCAATCTAATAACATTTTATTAGAAATGTTAATGAAATTTTAATAATAATGGAAAAGTTAAATACAAAAAGTGAAAGCAATCAGAAAGTTTCCAAAACACATTTAAAATTAATCGAAGCTGTTTCTGATCTCGATGGAAAGCAAAGGTTTTTATAATTATACCTATATATATAAATTTTAATATTAAAATTGACCTTTTTAATAAAGCAAATCCTGACAAACGTTTCAAAGTAATGTTCTACATTAAGATATTTTCTGGGAATAAGCCATGAATTTTATGCTAAACCGGGAATTTTTTCATCAAATTAAAAAATTTTTTATTATTTTTATTTATTTTTAAAAAATCGCTTTTTATTTCAATTTTTATAGATATTTATACTGTTCTCTAAATTATAATTAGTTAAAAATAAGTAATTTGATAGTAAAAACTCAGTCACCAATTCAAACATATTATGTAAATAAATTTTTAAAAAATTATGGAGTTAATAGAAATATTGTGAAATTCAACTGAAAATAATTAAATTTGTTAAAGAATTTCATTAAAAACTTTTTAACAAATTGAATTTTCAAAGTATTTTAATTTAATAATTGATAAATAATTGAATTTTATAAAGAATCACATTCTATTTAGGTAATGTATATTCAAGTTTCTTTGTGCGAAGATTAACAATTTAAATTTTTATTAGTCAATTTTAAAAAAGATACACTTCAATTTTTTTAATAATATTGAATTTTCCTAAAGTTTTTTTGAAAATTATGAAAAATAAGTTTTTTGGAATTTTTTAATTCTACCTATTGTTTCAAAATAATTGAAAATTTTTGAAACAATTGTGATTTCTTTACATTCTATTAAAAATATAATTGAATTCTTTTAAAGAATTTTATTTAAATTTTTCGAAAATAATCAAGGGAAGTTAGTGATTATAATTTTATTTTTAAAATATAAAGTCGCTCTTAAAGTTTTAAGTCAATTTTTTGCTTCTAAAAATTATAATATACCTTTTATTATTCAATAATTATCAGTATTGAACTTATCTTAAATTTTTATAATTTAAAATTTCTAAATATTCAAATAAATGATATTTATTTATTTCTTGATCAAATGAAGTTTTTATTAGGTACTTATTAAGTAAATAATTATTACTGCTTATTATTTTCAAAATTTTTAATAAAATTCTACGCAAGAATTCAATTATTTTCCAAATTTTCAATTTAAATTATTAAAAAAAAACATTATTTTAGAAAAATTTAAAGAAACTCGTCAAAGAAATTTAATTATTATTCATAAAAACTCTAATAAAAATTTTTTGAAGCAATTTGTATTTTTATTTATGTTCAAAATCAAATAAATTTAAATTTGATGAGAAAAAAACCGGGAAAAATTAGGACAAAGCCGGGAAATAACCGGGAATTTTGTTGAACAAAAGTAGTAGACACCCTGAGTATTATTTTTTTGAGATTTGATGAAAATTACAGAAGTTATGAATCATTGAAACAACGACCGTCTGTCAAAATGTTTTAGAAGATGGACGAAATATGGAAAATAAATTTATTTCCACCGACAAAGAAAAAATCGAGTAGGTGAAAAGCGGACAAATTGTCTTTTCTGCTCAAAAATTGTCAAAAAAATGAATGTTTGAATAGAAAAATATCAATTTATTCATTTTTAGGGTTCCGTACACCATAGGTGTACTGACGGAACCCTTATGAAATCACTCGTGTGTCCGTCCCAGCCACGCAAAATGGGCTGTCCCCCCCCCCCTAACTTCTACAAATCTCAACCTGGTGAGTTGAAATTCGGCAGGGATCTTCAGTTTTAAGTGCAGATTACAGGAAAAATATAGTGAACCCAATTGATCGACATATTTGCGAACTAGGAGGGAAAGAAATTGAATTTTTTCGAAAAAATTGCAAAAAATGACCCTGTCCCCCCTTATTAATTTTTACAAATCTCAACCTGGTGAGTTGAAATTCGGTAAGGATCTTCATATATATTTATATATATTTTTTATTATTATATAATAATATATATATTATATATATATTTTCTGTTATTTGTAAATAAAACATAAGAATCCAATATGGATTTTTGTAGTTTTTTCTTGTAATCTACATGTAAAATATACATATGTATACCGAATTTCAGCTCAATAGGTTTATATATATGTTAATTTTAATCAATCATATTTCTTCTATATGTATATTTTTATAAAAAATGAGTTTTGTTTTGGTGTACGGAACCCTCGATCTTAGTGCGAGTGCAACTCGCACTTGTCCGATTTTTAAAAATTTTAATTTGTGTTCGATTGTCTTCTTTTCTCAAAAAATATCAAACTTTTTATTTAATAAAAAATAATATTTCCAAGTAAATTTTAGACTCAAATGAACTATCGTCTGAAGCTCTGAAGTAAAAGTACATACCTAGATCAAAAATACTCAGTGGGACAGAGCGACTATTCTTGACTCCTTTTAACTTATTTAAACGAATTTATGCAATGATAAGTTCCTGGAAAAAATTATTTTGTTTGTGTTATATTACCTACTTTTATTATATATTTAAAATTGTATGTATCTTTCAGAGTACAATCATCAAAATGCAGTGAACCTAGCCTCGAAATCTCAGAATATCATTTAGTTAAAAGTGGAATCCCCGATAAACATAAAATACAAATCTCAGATTTTGCAAATACTTCATGTCGAAAAGGTCGACAATCAAAAGTTGCTAAAGTTTTTAATAAATCAAAAAATGCTCAAGTTTTGCCAAAACTTTTAGAAAAGCCTGCTATAGAAAAGGTAAATATTTTTAAAAAATTTTCTTATCATAATGAAATAATAAGATTTTCTCAAAATATTTAGTGTTGATGCCAATGTACACCCGAATGTCCAGGAGTCAGTTAAACATCAGCTTCAGAGAATTTTACTAATGTTAATTTTATAACAATTTTCTAATTTACTTTAGGAAAGAAATAAAATAAAAGGATTGTAATAAATCCTTATAACCATATTTCAATTTGCAGATTAAACGTAGCGTTGGGTATGAAAACTTGAAAACCGATCTTAAGAAATGGAATTCTGTGATTACGCAACAACGAACCGCAGAAAATGTTTCCTTTCCATTGAGGCATCCACCTACGAAAGCAGAACCATCAGGTGAATTTGTTAAAAGATTTCGAATTCAATCCGATTTAGAAAAAGAATTGTACCTTATAGAACCAAGTACAGTAGAGGTGCCAAAAGAAAACGTTTTGAAATTATCATTGGAAGAAATACTGCAACGTCGAGCAGAAACTGCAAAGCTTAGAGCTGAACAGGTATTGTAAATTATTTCTATTAATGTTTTTTATTTAAAAAAACATCTTTTAACCCTTAAAGCGCACCCAGGGTGTTTGACACCGATACTCGACTTTTGCACTCTCTTCTTCTTCTTCTTAAACGACTTATACTGTCATCAAGATAACATTGTTTTCTTCATGAAAGTCACTTAAGTTTTTCAAAATGAAAACCTTTTTTGAAATAAGCAATATTATATAGGGTTGCCAATGGTCAGGGAAAAGTCAGGAATTATCTTTAAAAATAATAAAATTCTTCTCCAAATTTCAATTATTTTCAAAAAATTTTTCTTAATTCAATGATTTTCAATATCTACTGTTTTAATAAAATTTTTCAAATTCAATTATTTAAAGAAAAATTTGTGATAAAATTCTAAGCAAACTTTGCAATAATTCAATTATTTAATAAATAATAACATTTTTTTTTACAAAAATTCAATTATTTTCATGAGTAATAAAATTCATCATAGAATTTCAATTATTTTTAATACAATTTTAATTGAATTCCTCGAAAAATTTAATTATTCTTGAAAATGTTATTAAAATTTCTCGAAAAAATTCAAATTTGTTGATAAAATTCTTTATGATAATTTAGTTTCGAGAAACAATCATTTATTCAATAAATTATTTGTTTTTGTATTTAAATAATTGAATTGTCGTAGAATTTTCATATAACAATTGATTTCAAAATGAATATTAGTTAAAATTTTAGATAATAATTGAATATTAAAAGCATTATAGCATGAATAATTTTACGAATTATTATTTATATATATATTTTACGAATAATTTTACAATTTAAGAAATTCGTAAATAAATGTAATAGAATAATAGTCTGGAAATCAGGGAGAAGTCAGGGAAAAATAAAGTTATATTTTTGTGGCAACCCTGTTATACTATCTTTTTCTAAAAATGTTATATCTCAAGAGTACACTGTTAATTTTTCACGCCTAATTATTAAAAATTACGGTAGTTCTGATTTCTTAAGTTAAAAGAACGCAGTTTAAAAGCCCGTGGGTGTTAAATATTTATAAGTGCGGTTTCCTTTACAAGGAAACAAATTTTTTCGCAGATTGTAAAGAGGAAGCAAAATGTTCATGTAATGAAAATCTGGATTTACAACTTTTTGTAGTATTTTTGGTTATATCTTTAAAATGCATCGTAATTTTTTTTTTATTAGAATCCTAAAAGACACAAACACAAAAATGCATCGTACTTAGTAATATACCATTTGTCAGGGATTTTTAAACTTTTTATTAGACACCCAAAATCAAAACAAGTTTAAATATTTTATTTTTTTAATCATAATAATGAAAATAAATTTATCTATTCTATTTGTAGTCGTACAAAATATCAAAGGCACATCGTCAAAAGAAAATTAAAAGTAAGAAATACCATCGTATTGAAAGGAAGAAGAAATTGAAGGACCAGTTAAAAGAATTTGAAAAGTTGGAAAAAACTGATTCAGTTGCGGCTCTAGAAAAACTAAAATATTTGGAAAAAGTTAGATCAGAAGAGCGGATGACATTAAGACATAAGAGCACTGGACACTGGGCAAAAAACAAATTGATACGTGCAAAATATGATAAAGAGGTAAGACCAATAAATTTCATTTATAACTATTTTATATATCTTTTAGCGTTGATTTTCCTCTAGTATTTATTTTTCAGTTAGTGATGTGCATACTACTCCTTAATCTGAAGTTTTAATGAATTTTTTTTATTCTTATATATTTTACTTTAACAGACTTGTACATAAATAATATAATTATTAAAATTAGCGGTAGAGAAGGCTAGAGCAGGCTAGAGCAGGCTTCACATTCTGGCCCCTATTTTCCTAAAAGTGCCCTTTTTAATTTTGGCCCCTAAACGTACCCTATTTTCAAAATTTCTCCTAAATTTCCTCTATTTTTTTCTTTTATCTTTTAATGATGAGTTCACACAAAGTTTAGCAAAGTGCCGTTGAAACTTTCAATTGGAAACTTTTGTTTTCAAAGTTTCAAATCTTTAAATTTATGATCGATGAAATTTTTCATGAAATTTATAAAATTTGTAAGATTAGTATTTCGGTGAAGCCTAGTCTCAATTATGTTTAGAAGTTGGTTGTTTTTTAATACCTATTATTTAATTATTACAAAAGTTTTAATTAATATAAATCTTGATAAATAACAAAATTCTTCACAGAAATTCAATAATTTTTAGGAATTTTAATAAAATTTTTTACAAAATTCAATTATTTTCATAAATTACAATATTCATACCAAGAATTCAATTATTTTCAAAAGTAATAAAATTCTTCAAAGAAATTCAATTATTTTTAAAAATTTTCACGAATATTTCGTCAAGAATTCAATTGTCTTTACAAATAGCAAAATTTTTCGGCAAAAATTCAATTATTTTCAAAAATTTATAAAAATCTTTGCAAAAGTTCAATTATTTTCAAAAGTTTCTTGCAATTCAATAATTTTTCAATATTTACTATTTTCATAAAATTTATCAACAGATTTAATTATAGAAAAAACTTTTTGATACAATTCTACGAAAACATTCAATTATTTTCATAAATAATAAAATTTCATTTACGAATTCAATTATTTTCATCGCAGAATTTCGAATATTTTTAATACAATTTTAAATAAATTCCTTGAAAAATGCAATTATTATTTAAAATTTTATTGAAACATGAGGAAAGAATTCAATTTTAAGAAACATTCAATTATTCAATAAAACAATAAAATTCGTTGCAATAATTCAAATATTTTTAAAAATAACATTTCATTCGTCGCAAAAAATCAATTTTCAAAAATTTTTAAGTAATTTTGCAAAAGAATTCACTATTAGCTTGATAAACAACAAAATCGCATAAATTCTTCCCATAAAATCAATTATTCTGAAGAATTTTAATAAAATTCTTTTCCAAAATTCAATTATTTTGATAAATATCAAAATTCATCACAAGAATTCAATTCTTTTGAAAATTAATAAAATACTTTGCAGAAATCAAATTATTTTCAAAATTTTTTAAAAATTTTCGTCAGCAATTAAATTATCTAATTATAAATAGATAGGGAAATTCTTCTCAAATAATAAATTTCATTAAAATTTTAATTAAATTCCTTAAAAGAAATTAAATATTTTCAAAAATTGTTAATACAATTCTTCGTAAAAATTAAATTTTAAGAAACATTCAATATTATTTATTTTTGTATTTAAATAATTGATTTCTGGTAGAATTAAATTATTATTTTTCGTTTCTTTAACTAAAAATTCTGTAGAATTAATTTTTTTGAAAAAGTTGAATTGAATAATAACACTGGGTAACAAAAAAATGACCATGTCGTGTTTATTTCAAAATTTTTGTGTTTATTGAAAGTTTGGGTGTCAGTGAACAAGAAAATACCAAAAAAAATTTTTTTAATTTATTCAGACCCCTAAAAAGGGGGGTTCAATTATTAAAAAACGGTGTTTTTTGCATTTTTTGAAGTCCTGTAAAAAGAAAATGGAAAAACATTAAAAGCTCTAATATGGCTTAAAAGAAAGCTCAAACCTTTATCTTTAAGAACCGAAACTGAAAAGTTATGTAAAAATTGCAGGGAACCTGTATTTACCGAGTACCCCCCTAATGTATCATACATTCTGGTAAAAATGACTGGGAATCTAAGCATATCAATTTTTCACAATCGGATTGGCTTCAAATTTGTTACTCAGGGGTTTTTGGGATCACTGATTACGAATCCGAAGTCAGATTTCAAAAATTCGAAATGGTGGCTTCAACATAGCGAATAAAATGTTAAAAGTCGTTCGGATTCGCTCGAGACTTGGTTGAATCCGCCATGTTAAAGTCTCCATTTTGGATTTTTGAAGTCTGACTTCGGATTCGTAATCAGCGACCCCAAAAACCCCTGAGTAACAAATTTGAAGCCAATCCGATTGTGAAAAATTGATATGCTTAGATTCCCAGTCATTTTTACCAGAATGTATGATACATTAGGGGGGTACTCGGTAAATACAGGTTCCCTGCAATTTTTACATAACTTTTCAGTTTCGGTTCTTAAAGATAAAGGTTTGAGCTTTCTTTTAAGCCATATTAGAGCTTTTAATGTTTTTCCATTTTCTTTTTACAGGACTTCAAAAAATGCAAAAAACACCGTTTTTACATTCTCATCATATGAGAAAGTATTAGTTTTGGTCGAAAATTGACTTTCGCTAATTTCATGAAATCTCGACGTTTTGGGGTCCCCTGAGTCCGAAAAACATGGTCTAAAAAAAGTGTCTGTCCGTATGTCTGTCTTCGTGTCTGTCTGTAGACACAATGGTGTCGCCACGATAACTTTTGAAAAACTTATTGTATCAACTTGCAACTTTGCATGCACAAAGTTAGTGTTAAAATACAGATCGAGTTCGTTAGCCAGCAATTTTCGTCGAAAACTACGCAAACTACAGTAGTTTCAAAATTTTGAAAATTCAATTTTTTCAAATTTCAATGTTTTTAACTTTATATTACTTTAGATTAGAAAAATACAAACAACTTTCCTCTACAACATTTTTTCATAGAAAGTCAAATTTCGGAGTTATAGGCTCTTAAATAACAAAAAAATACTCAAAAATCCGAAAATAACGCTAAAAATCAAAATTTCTCAAAGAGAAAAAAATTATTACATTAATTTCCACATATTCTCACCCCATTGTACTCAAAAAATGCTCACATTAACCAAAAACTAGTAATTTCCGGAAAAACCACCGTATATATATATTTTTTATCATTTTTTTAACAAAAAATCCATATTCCGACTCAATTATCTCCAAAACTATTGCCTATGGGAGCTTGCTACCAGAGACTTTTTTTCTCGTCTTACCATCAGCTACAACTTTGCTGTTGACAACTTTTCACTAAACTTAAAACTTTTCGACTTATTTGCAAAAAACTAATTTTTTATTACATTCTCATCATATGAGAAAGTATTAGTTTTGGTCGAAAATTGACTTTCGCTAATTTCATGAAATCTCGACGTTTTGGGGTCCCCTGAGTCCGAAAAACATGGTCTAAAAAAAGTGTCTGTCCGTATGTCTGTCTTCGTGTCTGTCTGTAGACACAATGGTGTCCCTACGATAACTCTTGAAAAACTTATTGCATCAACTTGCAACTTTGTATGCACAAAGTTAGTGTTAAAATACAGATCGAGTTCGTTAGCCAGCAATTTTCGTCGAAAACTACGCAAACTACAGTAGTTTCAAAATTTTGAAAATTCAATTTTTTTAAATTTCATTATTTTTAACTTTATATTACTTTAGATTAGACAAATACAAACAACTTTCCTCTACAACATTTTTTCATAGAAAATTAATTTTTTTTTTTTAAGTTTTTGGGTCAGGCTAGCTTAACTGGGTTAAAAAAATTTTACTGAATTTTTAAATTTTTATAACTATTATAAAAACATTTAGTTTACAATAAAACCAACGAACATTTAAGAAAAAAAATTTTTTTTTAACTTTTTTTTAAATTGTTATTGAAAATATTGAATTTTTAAATCTACAATCATGCAAATGTTTTTTTTTAAAGAATGGACAATTTTATGTAATCATTGTAAATGACATTAATTTATTGTAAACTGCTTTTGAACTAAAAATTTTTTTTATAAATGTTTTAATATTTTATTTATGCAAAAAAATAACAAAAGTTTAAAATTTTTAAAAACGGTTAAAATTTTTTTTGTTTTGTTGTAAACTACAGATTTTTATAAAAGTTTTAACTATTTAGAAAATTAGTGAAATTTTTTTAATGCAGTTGGGCTGGTCTGGCCCTGTTTTACATTTCAATTTTTGGTCCTATCCTTTAATATCATAATCTACAGATAAAATCAAATTCGAACTTTTAAAAAGTTAATTGTCTAATGACGGACAGTTCATCTCAAAATTGACAAATCTGAAGCAAAAAATTCAAACTGTTTTTCTAAAAAAGGAAAGTGTCTTGCATATAAATCCACCACCTTTACTGAAAAATCGATTAAAATAAAAAATTGAATATGTTTCAATATTTTGTTTTAAAATATACCATCTTTTTTTATTATATTTCTAGTCTACAAAAATGTTTTTTTTAATTTTTTGACTATTTTTTGGTGAATTCACATACAGGACAAGCTAAAAAATCAAACGACCTAGCATTTAATAAAATCAATTCAATAGATTCAGAGATAAAGTGTCCTCCATTTCAGAAAACGTTATTCTGAGAAAAACGCGTTCAAACCTTTATGTATCGTTAGAGGCCATCCATAAATTACCTAAAAATTTTTTGGAAGTTGAAATCCCTTCATTTCTCATTTTATTAACATTCACTAAATTGTCCGCACTAATTCCAGATGATAAAAACCTGAGAATAAATGGCAATGTTGCGGATAAATTCCGGAATCACTAGTTTAAATTAACTGATTAGTTTCGGACTTCATCGGACCAACTCCGGATTCACTAGTTATTCACAAACCGTATAGAGTTCGTATTTATCCGGATTAATTTCGGGTGACAAAATCCTGACCATATTAATAATGATACTACAAATGTTTAGTAACAAACAAATTTTTTATATCTTATTTGGTTTTG